TCCATTTGGGTCGCACGAAAGCCCATTTTCGGACCGTATCAAAACTGCCCGGAATACTGTTCATCCCGACCTTCGTGTCTTACCGAATTTTTATAAAATTTTCCAGATTTATTTTCAATAAACTTCCTTCACAAAAGTTGTTGGTGACTTTATTTTCTATAACATATAAAAATTTCAAAGCTTTCCAAGGTGATTTGTCTGTTGAAAGAAATGTATTTTGAGGACAAAACAGTCTGTTAGAGCGAACTGATTTTGGTCTGATTTCGAGGGACAAAAAGGCATGGTTGGAGATTGAACCGGATTTCGCGTTCTTCATAAGAAATGTTTATCAAGATGTTTTTTATGATATATCCAAAATTTAGAATTTTTAGAGTTCGTATATGCAATTGTATGGTTTGTGATTGTTGGTTGATTCTGGATTGTGTCTTGGGCTGAATGTGGCGTGATTGTGTGCCGAGAGTGTGTGGCCATGAGGCGTGATGGTGTGATTGCGCATTGAGTTCGTGTGCCAAGCATGGGTGATCGTGTGGTATGTGTGGTATGAGTGGAACAAAGGTACGGGAATGTAGGATTGATTGGAAAGGTTCCGTCCTGAGGCGTGTTCGTTTACGCGGGACGATGCCGTCCCTGACGAGGTGACGATGCCCGGCCCGACGGGGTGACGATGCCTGACGAGGTCAGAAGACCGTTGGCCTGATGCGTTTTACGCGGGCGCGGTAGTGGTGGAAAGGTTGAGAACGAGTTGGACTTGGCAAGACGTGAGAGAATTGAGAAAGTTGACGCGTGGTGTGAGTTCGTGTGCAAGTGTGGTTTGTACCGCGTATTGTAGTGCGCGATTATGGGGTAAAATCTGTTAGGCATGGTATGGGACGTGCCAAGTAGGTTTTGTCTTATAATCGAGGCATGCGCGCGGTTGTGATGCATTATTGTGGCATGTTGGTTGTATCATTATCTGAGGTGCAGGAATGTGCATGATGGGTTCCAGGTAGGATCGCATGTGATTGTTATTTTGGTTGATTGTTGTGTGTTATGCGTGTCTCGTCTGGCGGTACGTGAGAACCTATGTGGGGTTTGGGGTTGTACACTTATTGAAATTCATTTCACGGTTGTATAACCACCACTTTCAGACCCCCAACCTTAGACCTAGGAGGCCCGCCTCCTCTTTTTGAAGTTTGAAGAGCTGCCCATGGTGCCTCAGTGAAGCCGCAGGCAATATCCAAATGATCCTCCGGAGTACAAGCCAGAAGATCAGGAGCAGATTGGGAGGAGGACGACCAGTAGGTTTCCCTAGGGTATTTTAGGGGCTGTGTAATATAGGTCTGACTAGTAACCTTTTGATAGATAGGTCGACCTATAGTGAAGTTAAGTTAGCCAAGCCACCTGATCTCTTTGTTATGTCGGTGGTTGTGAATGTTCGCTTATTAAATTTGGTTGTAACATGACGTTTGTTTGTTCGGTGCTATGGCGTTGTACATAAATGAATGTTGTTGTTATTTGACTGTCTGGTTGAGCTACCCAATCGTTGTCTTTATAGTCAGGGGTTTTATATTCGCTTCCACATGTGTTTTCGATGTTTGGGATTGGGTCGGCGATGTTCCTGGGACGTCGCAATAATTCGATCGGAGTAGGGGATGTCGCGAGCTCGATGGGGGTTCGGGACGTGACAGAAACTCAGGTTGTTTTAGAGTAACTTTGTTGCCCTACTACTTTTCCTAAAAGGTTTGATGTTTTGCGAAAAATATTGTAAGTTTAAAGTCAACTGTCACTACAAAAAAATAACGATTTAGCCACGGAAAATTACCGATGAAAAATTATTCGTTGCTAATTTGCGACGAAAACTAAATTCGTCGCTAATTTGCGACAACAAATTATTCGTCGCTAATTTGCAATGGAATTTGCAACGAAAATGAAATTCGTCGCTAATTTGCGACGAAATAATTTTCGTCGCAAATTAGCAACGGAATTTGCGACAAAAATTAAATTTGTCGCTAATCTGCGGCAAAAAAAAAATTCGTCGCTAATGAATTTGCGAAAAAAATTATATTCGTCGCTAATTTGGAACGAAAAAAAAATCGTTGCTAATGAATTTGCGACGAAAATTAAATTCGTCGCTAATTTGCGATGAAAAAAAAATTCGTTGCTAATGAATTTGCGATGAAAATTAAATTCGTCGCTAATTTGCGACGAAAAAAAAATTTGTCACTAATGAATTTGCGATGAAAATTAAATTCGTCGCTAATTTGTAACGAAAAAAAAATTCATCGCTAATGAATTTGCGACGAAAATTAAATTCGTCGCTAATTTGCGATGAAAAAAAAATCGTTCGCAAATTAGCGACGGAATTTGCGATGAAAACTGAATTCGTCACTAATTTGCGACGAAAAAAAATTACTCAAATTAAAACTCTTAAGGTTACTCATACAAATTTGTGAACGCTGGAGACAAATTTTAGTGCAAAACAACATTTTTCAACGACAGCCACCATTCGTGCCTAACTTCTAATTATTAGTTGTTGGATCATAGATTTTATGATTGTGAATCTTAAGCTTTCAATCTTATATCTTGAGATTTTGTAGCTTTTTATTTAAATATTTACAATGCACGAGTTTTGAATAGACAGTCGTGTTTGCAAATTTAAGATTGCTCGTTATATATTGAACATAAGATTATCGTTTTATTATGAAATACAATGAAACGATTGCAGATAACCGATGAGAATCCTAGACGGGTTTGTGATAAAACATCAAAAACTCATAACAGGTTGGAGATGGATAATAAAAGAAAATTAACGGGAACCCAAATCTTTCCTGCTTTCATCCCCAACGAGTGTCACCCTAAAAGAACACGACCAAGTTATATTGAGTAATTGACGACATGACCAAAATGAATACTAAAGTGTACATAAGAAAATGTTCTTTCACCTACTAATGTTTGTCCAAATCCATTCATTAGCCGTTGCTACCATCCATTCCCACTCCCAAAAAAACAGTAGGTGGTTGTAGGGGTGAGCAAGATGGACCGCCTAAATCAGGATCGGACCGGACTGACCGGTTTGGTCTGGTTCTCGAGAATATCGATCCGGTTCCCGGTTCTTAAAAGTGGAACCGGTTTCTGGGCTGTCCGGTTCCTGGTTTTAGGGTGGGAACCGGACCGGACTCATAAATATATATATTTTTCTAATTTTTTCATAAATATATTTATTTACTTTTTAAAAATTTTGAAAAAAATAGAAAGCCTAATCTAATTTCCCAATTCCTTCTTGCCTTTACTCAAATTTTTCTAGCCGGTCTGGTCCCTGGTCCTAGAAACTAGGAACCGGTCCTCCCGGGTCGGTTCCCGGTTCTTGGACTGGATCGGACCGGCTAGTCTTGGAACCCCAAGGTGGTTGAATCAGCTAATGCTTACCATCGTTGAAGGGAAGGGAATTTGGAAGAGCATTAAACTTAGCAATATACGTTCGACGTATGTGAGCCAAAATTGATCTGAACCTTATCAGAAGCATCGCTACGCCAATTTTGTAAAACTCGCAAGTTGTTGTCGACGGGGCGGTGCTACCTAATTAACAAGAGTTGCGGTGACCGCGTCGGACCATAACTAGGGTTGCTCGACCCCCCACCATCTCGCATCCCGCCCTCCCTCTCCCTCGATGGTGACCGATGGCGACTCCGCTCCAGACAATGGCTAGTCATGGCGGATGCCCATGCCATGCTTTCAAGGGACACAACACCGTCGACGTGGCGAACCCAATCCCTCTATCTCTCGTTCTTTAATTTTTTTTAAAAATTATCTTAAAAGATGTTGTGGAGTTTTTTGACATAGCATTTCTCTTGCAATAAAAATTTTTAATATTCTCTTCATCGTTTAATGCCGAATAATTTTCAAATTTTCCCCTTTACTGAAGAGAGAGGATAACCTTTTCGCCGGTCAAAAATTCCACACCCCAAAAGAAAAATCCCGCTCCGACCCAATAAAAAAAAGAGTTAATACCATGAAAAACCCCAAACTGGTATACTTGTGACAATTTTACCCCAAACTAATTTTTTGACCACCAAAAACCCTAAACTGATACACTTGTGACAATTTTACCCTCCGTCAATTTCTCCCGTTAAATTTGCTGACGTGGATGACGCTTGATGACGTGGCAAGCCACGTGGAGAGCCACATGGAAATAACTTAGTTTTTTTTCAAAATAATAATAACTTGATTGATATTTCTTCAATTAGATCACGTTCTTTCTTCATTATAACACAAAACAAACCCTAGCGACAGATCAGTTCTTCTCCTCTGACATTCCCTTCGACAAACCCCCTTCTTCCTATGGCCACTTCCACCTAGCTTGGTCGCGATCTTGGGCTTATGTCATAGTTTTCATCTTGTCGAGGTAGGAAAATGATAGCCCTCTGTTCCACGTCGCGTTCGAGGCACTATGTTTCCGAGGGGACCTCCTCTCTGTCTTTTTCGTTGGATCCTCAGCCATAACCTTCTGATTGCATATCTGGTTGCTTCACTTGTTTTCGGTTTGTGTCAAACTCGGTCTTATGTTTCTATGTCTCGGCCCTACATGATTTATTGCTTGTCCGCGAGTTTCTTCGTACGCTTACGTATTCCTCTTGCTATGTAGGTAAGTTGGTTCATGTCCTCGTGTCCCTGTTAGCGTTACGTGATCTTTCCAACCTTAGAATCGTACGTGTGTCGAAACTTTTAACATGAAACTTGCATGTGAATGGTATGATTGACTCGTACACCACATGCCCGATGAAATGCCAGAACCAAATTCACTTAAGTTTGTCACTGATTTCGGGTGTCCTTTGAGTGTGATTCTACATGTCTTATGATAGTTTACTTTTTTGGCTTGTATGTAGAACTCGAAAAATATCAAGCTTCTTGTTTGTCGAACTCGACCTTCTCATCTCGTATGTCGAACTTGATCATCCCATCTTTGCTAGTTATCTGTGAGAGGTTATTACAAAATAATTTGTTTGTTTGTTTTTCTCTTGCAGATGTCTAAGGATTTTACAATTGCACTTAACCTGGGTGGAGTTATAGAGTTTGGAAACATCACAAAGTACACAGGCCGCCATGTAGAATATCTCCATCGTTGTAAGTCAATGGTAGTGAACTATAACACAATTGTTAAGGCTGTTATTGGTCTAGGATATTAAGTCGAAAAGTTGTGGTACCTAATTCCCGGGAATTCGTTGAGAAGTGGTCTTGTGCAGATTTCTGGTGATGATCAAGTGCTAGAATTGGTGGGTCTAGGATTGACTTTTGGTGTTATTGAAGTATATATTGAAGGAGCAGCTCTTGGTGATGGTAATGGTTCTTCTACCAGTGGCGATAATAGCGATAGGGATAGTGAATCAGAACAAGATCCTGGTACATTATCTTTAAGTGACGATGACTTCATTCTCGATGGTGGTAATGAGGATTTCTTTCTTGCAAGGCAAATAAGAAGAGAGGCTGATGATGATGCAGCAGCAGCTGCTGCTACTATCATTGATATAGTTCCCGTTAACATTCTTGAAAATGAGGAGGAAGGTGAAAATGATGGAGACATTGATCTAGAAGAACGGGATGAAAATTTGAGCCCTCCTAACTCTGATGGAGATGAAGAAGTCTGTGACCAAGGAAGACCGAAAATCATTAGATATGACCCCAAATGGGATCATAAAGAAATACAGTTTAAAGTAGGAATGAGATTTGCCTCACGTGCTCAATTCAAGAAAGCTGTGCAACTTTATGCAATCATGAATGGATTTGACATTGGATGGAAGAAGAGTGAAGAGACAAAAATGGATGGTAGGTGTATGAATGGCTGTGAATGGAGAGTTTTTGCTAGCTGGATGCAAAGTGAGAAGACTTTTATCATAAAAACTGTTGGAAATGAACACACTTGCCCTAGGAGCATGAGAAATAAGAATGCAACGTATGTATGGCTTGCGGAGCAGTTCTTGCCTAAAATTAGAGCTAACTTGAAGTATACAACGTCACAAATGCAGGCAGATGCAATGGAGATGTGGGCACTGACACTAAATAAGAGGACTTGTTATAGAGCGATTAATAGAGCTATTGAGATCATTAGAGGTCCATTTGTTGAGCAATACAAGTTGTTGCACTCTTATAAGGCTGAGTTGATTCGATGTAGTCCGAACAGCACATTTGACTTGGAAGTTGGACGATATAATACGTTCAAGAGATTCTATGTGGGCTTCAAAGAACTGAAAGAGGGTTTTCTAGCAGGCTGTAGGCGAGTAATTGGATTGGATGGATGCTTTACGGAGACTTTAATTAGAGGGATGTTGCTCTGTGCTACTGGTAGAGATGGAAATAACCAAATGTTTCCAATTGCATGGGCTGTGGTTGAAGCTGAAACCGAAGAATCTTGGACTTGGTTCCTCAAGCTACTAGTGAAAGACTTGAATGTGGGACAAGGTCTTGGCTGGACCTTCATGAGTGATCAACAAAAGGTAAGGTTGTGCACAAGCTTTACTAATAGAAGTATTTTTTTGTTTATAGACTAACTTATTCGCATGTTAAATAACGTGTTGCAGGGTCTTCTCAATGCAGTTTCTAAACTCTCTCCGCGAGCAGAGCATAGGAATTGTGCTCGGCACATTTATGCTAACTGGAAAAAACTATACAAGGGAGAAACATTTAGGAATTGCTTTTGGAGAGCTGCATATTCGACATATGAGGCCGATTTCAACATAGCGATAAAAGAAATGAAGGAAGAGTCTGTTCATGCATATGAAGACTTCATGAGACAGGGTCCAGAACACTTTTGCAGGGCATTTATCAAGTGTGGACGAAATTGCAATGCTATCGAGAATAATTTGAGTGAGACATTCAATGCATATATATGCAGAGAAAGGGAATGTCCCATTGTTGATATGTTAGAGGGCATAAGAAAATTACTTATGGTAAGAATGTACGAGAAAAGCCAATTAATGATTGGTTCAAGAGATGAGATTTGTCCAAGAATCAGATTGAAGATTGAGGAGGAAAAAATGAAGTCTAGGTTTTGCATTCCAAGGCCATCTACGGCTTCCAGATTCGAAGTTGAAGTAAATGATGACACGTTTATGGTTGATCTGAATGAGAAGACATGTACTTGCAGACAGTGGGATATATCGGGGATACCATGTAACCATGCTATCTCGTGCATCAACTTCATTAAGTGTAATGTAAATGATTATGTAGCTGAATCTTTCAAGAAAGATGCGTACAAGCGTTGCTACCAATTTGCATTACCTACCTTGAATGGAAGGAAGATGTGGCCAAAGACTAGTGAAGAGCCTTTATTGCCTCCGCCATTCAGAAAGCTTCCGGGGAGGCCTAAGAAAGACAGGAAGAGACCCAATGGTGAGACGAAAAAGGATGAGAAAAGCAAAAGAATAAGGAAGCCAAGGGTCACCAACACCGATCCTACTAAAATATCTAAATCCGGTATTACCATGAAATGCTCCAATTGTCATGGTATTGGACACAACAAGACAACATGCCCCCAACCTTCGGCACCTTTAGAGATCAAACTAACGGTAAGGAAATTCAAACACAAATGTGATACACTTTCCCTTAAAATACCTTTCTTATATATGTCTATTATACAGGGCAAAAGAGGTAGGCCAAGGAAGCATCCAAAGAAACCAACCATTGAAGAAGGGGCATCTAACAAACAAAGTGAAAGTACCACATCTGGATCTGTAAGAGCACAATCAAATATTGTCAGATTTGAGAAGAGGAGGGTGAGTGGTCCACCAATACAATTCATATGGTTTTTGATGATGCCAAAGTAAAATGTTAATATGGTTTGTCTTCTTATAGGTTCTACAAGGATATGGATTTTATGTATCTGAAGCCACTAGAAACTCACATTTAAGGGTGAACATTTTATTTTGTTGAGGATTTTTTAATCTACTATGATTAGCATAATAACATTATGTTTTTTCCGTCATTTTTAGATGCCTGGTAGTAACATAGTACAAAAAATTCATCAAGGTGGTGCAAATCATACAGTGGATATTTCAAGCCAAGTTTTTGGACCCTCTCAAACTCAACAATCTCAAAGTGAAGCAAGGCAATGAACCTGTGGGGAGAGTTGGATGTTTGGTGTAAAGCTTGTTCTGTAAAGCTTGTTCAAGTCTAGTATATATTCACTTTTTTTGGATGGTTGTGATATAGAACATGCTTTTGGACCTCTGCTGTCTGGTGTGGATTGTGCCTTTTTTGGCTAGTTGGCTGGTTGGATGTCTGGTGTAAAGGCTATTTTGTTTGTAAAGTTTGCTGAAGTCTAGTGTAAAGGCTATTTTGTTTGTAAAGCTTGCTGAAGTCTGGTATAAAGGCTATTTTGTAAAGCTTGTTGAAATCTGGTAAAGGGTATTTTGTAAAGCTTGTTCAAGTCTGGTAAAGGCTCATTTGTAAAGCTTGTTCAAGTATATATTGATCCGTGGTTTTAGTTACGTACTCTCCATTTTGTGTGGATGATGTTATTTGCATTGTGATGATGAATTTGGTCAATCGCATATGGTTTGTATGCTGGAAGGGACTCTCTCTCTCTCTCCGCCCATTTTGATGATAAATACTATTGAAATTGATTTATGGTTCCACAGCTGCTAGAATAGGTTAATATCCTAATTTGGACTTCTCTGCGATATTTGCATCTTAAGTTTTCTTTTATATCTAGACAAGTCTATTGCTTCTGGCTCATTATGTAAAATAGTACTTCATTTGTATATCTGCGCATACAATCTGTCTTTTAGTTAAAAGGCATCTTCTGCGGCACAAGAACGAAGTGCTGCATTTGGCAGGCTTCCAATAGTCTTCTAATAATGATTCCAATAGAAAGAAATAATTTCTAGTATTGATGATATAAAGGCAATGTTAGAGTAATCTGGAAAATAAACTCGACTGCACATCACAACTCGGTCAAATTCGAAAAAATTGATGGAGGGTATATTTGTCACATGTGTACTAGTTTTGGATTTTTGGTGATCGAAAAAATTAGTTCGGAGTAAATTTGTCATAAGTATACCAGTTTGGGGTAAATTTGTCACATGTGTACCAGTTTGGGGTAAATTTGTCACGTGTGTACCAGTTTGGGGTAAATTTATCACATATATACCAGTTTGGGATTTTTTGTGGTATCAAACCTATGAATTTCCACATCAACCTGCCACGTCACCATGCCACGTCACGGAGCGTCGTCCACGTCAGCAAATTTAACGGAAAAATTTGACGGAAGTTAACGGAGGGTAAAATTGTCACAGGTGTACCAGTTTGGGGTTTTTGGTGGTCAAAAAATTAGTTTGGGGTAAAATTGTCACAAGTGTACTAGTTTGGGGTTTTTCGTGGTATTAACCCTAAAAAAAAACACGCCCACACCCTGTGCGATGCTTCCATCCAGGCGCATCCCCCATTGGGCGCTCCACCGTCCTCGCGGATTGTGATCCGCGTGACTCCAACCACGAACGAATCTCGCCCGTCCAATCCACCTGCAATCCAACAGCCGGATCTCCTCCCCTCTCCTCCGAAACATTTTCAAAATCCCAAAACTTTTTCCCTCTCCCGCCTCGCTCTCTTCTTCTTCCTTCCTCCTTTATATATTTTCCTCCGCTCGCAAGAAACCACCAGATTCAACCCGCTTTCTCTCTCAATTTTCCCGAGAAAATTCAATACCCAGAGAAAAGGGAAGAAGGAAAACTTGCTGATCGGCAAGGCCCGCACGAAGCATACGGCCCGGAAGTCCACCGGCGGCAAGGCCCCGTGGAAGCAGTTGGCCACCAAGGCGGCCCGGAAGTCGGCCTCGGTGACTGGCGGGGTGAAGAAGCCGCATAGGTTCAGGCCTGGGACGGGCCTTGCTAAGGGAGATACAGAAGTACCACAAGAGCATGGAGCTGCTGATCCGGAAGCTGCCCTTCCAGCGGCTGGTGCGGGAGATCGTCCAGGACTTCAAGACCGACCTCCGGTTCCAGAGCAGTGCCATCGCCGCCCTCCAAGAGGCGGTGGAGGCGTACCTCATCGGGCTATTCGAGGTCACCAACCTGTGCGCCTTCCACGCCAAGCGGGTCACGATCATGCCCAAGGACATCCAGCTCGCCAGAAGGATCCGGGGAGAGAGGGCTTAGTTATAAAGGGGAATGTGGTTAGATCTTTGTCATGTTGGAGGGTGTTTGGTTGTAGGCTTGATTATGGAGACTTTGAATCGTTGTTATGTAGATGTACATCTTTGGGCATTAATGGAACGTGGGTTTGCTTCGCTTTCTTTGACTTTCTTGCAAATTTTGGTGCTTTTCAGTATTCATGGGTTTGATCTTGTGAATCGATGTTCTTGGAAGACAAGAACAATAGATACTTTAATTTAGTGGTCACTGGGATGGTTTCAAGGAATTAACAATATAGTTGGGGCTGAATTCGAAAGTCTCTTGCTTTCTTGTGCGAATGCAGGGAATTACATAAGCCATGTCAATCACGCCAGAAATGTTTTGTTTGATCTGCAAATAATACTTTTTTCTAGAATTATCACGACTCAAAAGCTGAATAATAGAACTCGATCTCAAGCTGTCCAAGCAAGTAGCAACATTCTGTATATAATGACTTGTGATTGGGACCATTCTAGATGGTTTGAGTTATGACTGTATTCAAATTCGTCACTAATTTGCGACGGAATTAGCGACGAAAATAACTTTCGTGGCACGGTCCCAACTATTTTATTTTTGTTGCTAATTCCGTCACTAATTAGCGATGGATTAAAATTTTGTCGCAAATTAGCGACGAAAATAACTTTCGTGGCACGTTCCCGACTATATTATTTTCGTCCCTAATTAGCGACGGATTAAAATTAGCTACTGGCTTCGTGACGAAAATAAAATCCGTCGCAAATTAGCGACGAATTTCAATCCGTCACTAATTTGCGACGGAATTAGCAACGAAAATAACTTTCGCGGCACGTTCCCGACTATTTTATTTTCGTCACTAATTCCGTCGCTAATTAGCGATGGATTCAAATTCCGTCGCAAATTAGCGACGAAAATAACTTTCGCGGCACGTTCCCAACTATTTTATTTCGTCACTAATTTCGTCGCTAAAATTAGTGATGAATTTTGCCACGAATATAGTTCATGACTAATTAGCGACGAATTTTGCCAATAATAAATTAGCGACGAATTTTGCCACGAATAATTAGCAACGAATTTCGCCACGAATAATTAACGATGAATTTTGCCACGAATATATTTCGTTGCAATTTAGCGAAAATTGAAATTTTTCGTCGCTAAATTTTGCGACGTCAAATTGGCAACGAAATTTTTTTCGTCGCAAATTTCGTCAGAAATTCGTTTAGTGACGAATTTTTCCATTTTTTTCGTGGCAAAATTCGTCGCTAAAACCTACTTTTTTTGTAGTGTGTACGTTCTCAAAATTGAATTTCATTTTGGGTGAAAACCATAGATAATGACAATTTGGATTTAAAGTCAATTTTCTGAAGAACCTACATTTGGTAAGTATTTAGTAGGCTCACCTCGCTAACTTGCATGTTTTGCAGCATATTAAATGTTTGATATAGCAAAAGTTAGTATTTGAAGATTCTCAAAGAGAAATTTATCAATATGGTGCCAAAATAAAGTGTTTTGAAATGACTATTGTGACATGCTTGTGCATGGAAAGCTTCGACACCATTCACATTTTCGGCCGCTTCTTTTAACATTCTTTACAAGTATGGGAAAGCAATCGTATGGAATTGTGTTTATCAGTGGGAGTTACTTATGTTATCATGCCGGTTACAATGTTTTGACGTTTCATAGTTGATTCCATCTCGAAGGCACTGAAAAGCAATCGGAATCAATTTAAGGCATATTTTCTCGTAGAAAAAAATGAGGGTGAGTTACAGTGTTAAAAGATTTGTGATATGATAGCAGAAACCTGAGATTGAAGGAGACATGATAATGTTTTGCTTTTGCATTTGTTAATTGATTTTGATCAAAGGACTGGAATACATCATTTGTAAGACCTCTCTAGATTGGAATGCCAGCTTGGGTATGACGGCTTTGCTAAAAGTAAATCTTTCAAGGACAACATCATATTCAACCAAAAAAAAAAAAAAAGAGGACAACATTATACGATATAAGGTTTATAACATAATCATAAGAGACATGGGCATAAGTGTCAATTGAGTTCATCCGACTTCTTTTGGAGTATATAGTTTTGCATAGAAATCAATGGAGGACCGGACTTTAGAATAGCATTAATGGATCACATGAAGAAATGTTATTTTCAGCTATGTCACCACATTGACCCATCACAATAGAATAGCATATAGCATTTGTAATCACGGTCGTCTGACATAGATTGAGAGAGGTATTATGATGGCTATGGTTCAATGTTGGTGTTTTTGTTGGTGGGAGTTGTTTTTTGAGATGTGTCTTTAGATGGCCACATACTGTTACCGTTTTAATAGCCTTCGAGGCGATTTACAAAATCTAAATCTTTTCAAAAAAGAATATTGTCTAAAAAGTTATAAACCTATTGTACGGCGGTCAATTCAGTCCTAAACCTTTCAATTGTGCCAATTTAGTCCTAAACATTTTGAAAATTATTGGCAAAACATCAAAAGGTTTAGGGCTAAATTAACACAATTGAAAGATTTAGGACTAAATTGACAAATCGTTAAAATGTTTAGGACTAAATTGACAAGGTCTAGGACTTAGCCACCATACAAACAGGCTTAGAACTTTTTGGAAAATTATCTCCTTTTCAAAATGTCTTGCAATTAATGTTGCCCAAGTGAAAGAATGTTGGAAATACTTAAGAATGTGGGCTAACATTTATTGCATAATATTTTAGTTTGTAAAAGAGACTATTATAAAGTTAATAAAATATACGAGACAATGCTAGATCACCCAAGTACATTCATGTAATCATATTATATTGGACTTAGCACATCTTGGTTACGGTAATAACTTGATTGAATGGTCAATATACGCCAATATTTTAACAATAACTTGCGATAGATGGGTCTGTTGGAATATGCTATATAAATAGGTTAAAGTCCTCCCTCCTCTCCTAATTCCATATATGCTTACCTGTTTATCCAATGAGACCGTCCAAGGGAGGAGAAGGACAGGAAAACCCAGTCACGAATTCGTACGATTTTATCTGTATTGATCAGTTCAAGAACGATGATTGGCATTTCGATTCAATGTTAGGTATTCTTAAATTGTGTATACCAATTTTAGATTGTCGAATTTCTTACATAATCAAAACCAATACAT